TGAAACTGTTCATTAAAAAGAACAATTTTTCGTAATACACTGACAGCATTAAGACCATCATTCAAAGTTGGCACTGTAAATTGTTCTTCAGTCTCTTCCTGTTCGTCATTTTCCTCTTGAACTTCTTGTACAATATCATCTTCCGTAGCTGGTGCACAAATTGCAATAGAGTTATCTGCATCAATAAACTCCTTAGCTTCAATAGCAGATATTCTGAGAATTACAATAGACCCTAAACTAATGGTCATTTACTGTACCAGATGTGGATACTGTTACCTATTCAACTGTTTACAATACAGCTGGTCGTTCTAACAGATATACTGCTCCGAAAATATCAGTTACATGTAGTCGCTTAAAGAGATATGTTGTAATAAGCAATTTCGTAAAAACCAGTGTTTTTTATAAGGCGGTCTAACAGAATTAAGCCGGGACCTATGATTTTGGACAATGTAACCGGTATGTTGTTCTAAACGATGTCGTAGTAAACGGTTTTGACTACGAACAATTTGCTGTCACCCTGTATAAACATAAGGATTGTGCCGAAATTACTCACTAAGTGTATAACCTATTAATAACCAAATGCTTAGTTGTTGCTTATCGAACTTCTCAAGTAATCAGGGCGGCCAGTATAATGACACAGCGACCGGAAATTTATTCTGAATTTGTTTTAGTTTTTAGGGTACGTCCGAAGAAAAAACTGAAAAAATGTCCGTCTGTCACAGTCAATTTGTTCCGATTACAGGAAAATTAATAAGAAGTCTATGGTCTAAACATAACGTGGTACAAATCTTTCAACAAAACAATATTCTGCATACATTCTGCATACAAATTTACATTTTCCGTTTGAATGTATGGGAGAACATTTTTTTAACCACAATGTCTAATTGGTTCGTGGGTTAGGGTTCTGTATGTCCAAATAAAAAACGGAACCTTTATAATATCACTCGTTCATTAGAACATATCCCCTTAATGTGTTGTGGGAGACACGGTGAGAAAAAAGTTTCTCGCGGTATTCGACAAATATACTTATTACAAGTTTTGGTCTGATTTTTGTTGGTTAACTCCTATCCGCCGTAACATGCGATAAAGAATTTCGTTATAAAAAAAATATCATTTTTCTCCAGTTATCCTTAAAATCTCTTTCCCATGTTCCCAATATGTTTCCATAAGTTTGCATGGGCATGGCCGGATTTTCCCTTAGATAGTGCTGCCCTGAGCATCATAAAAAATGCCACCTTTTGTAGAAAATGGATGAGATTTTAGAATACTTTTTTAACTTCCATAAAAACCAGTAATTTTTCAAAATTGTTGAATTCAAGCCGATTTTTGAAAATCCAGTATTTATCATATCTCGACGTTTTGAGATCATAGTGCCACTAGTTTAAACTCAGCGCTGAGTGCACCCTAACTGGTTGAATTTTTTAACCTTTGACATTTATTTTCCATTTGGATATCACTATTTCTCTGAATTACAGCCATTATTGATAAATAAAAATACGATTTTTTAGAATTTGTATTACACCCCATCTGTTGTATTTATGTACAAACATGCTAGTAAACGGTTTTAAAAAGTGAAGTATTTTATTGATGCGAAACGCAGTCCATAAAGAATGGGCGTCTGGGAAGATAAACAGTAATAATGGGTCTGGTTGTTGTTGCCGTTGTGCTGTTGTTGTTGGGTCATCCACGCGATCCGAGGGTACATCTAATCGCATCCCGCTGAGTGGAACAAAATGCGGTGACAGGAGACTTAGTATGCGATCCAGCGCGACGTGCTGCACAAAGTGGTGCAACGAGAAAAACCGAGGAATGAAGAGTGAAAGAAATAAAAAACGGTGCCAGTGGGAACCCCCGTCTATCACACGATATTACCTGCCATTCCGCTCGCGATCGAGATGGATACCATGATGTAAGGGATTCACTTTTAATGAGCAAATTAGACGATTTGGCATTTATACGGTCAGAACCTGAGAAATGACGTCATTTGTCAATGGATAGGTGCTCTTTGTAGTTATGCTAATCGACAAAGAAGAAGCAGTCATTGTTATTTTCAGTTAGTACCTACCTTTAACTCGAAGCAATGTTTATTGTTCATACTTTTTGGATCTGCAAAATAGATCTCATAGGTTCAACCCTTACAATAAGTGGTAGCGTTATAATTAATTATAGGAAACCATCCTCAATATGTGTGCCCGAAAAACTATTACGGTACTACAATCCTCAACGATTTTTAATANAAGTGCATGCCTTTAATTGGTACTTAAAATTCTGAGCAAAGGCGTAATCTTACACACAAAAAGGTCAAAGTAACGAAATACGCATACGGACACTCAAATGTCAAGGAAAGGCCAAAATTAAGAGGTAGGTAAAAGCTCATACGTGACCGAAGAAATTGTTAAATACTTCCTACATTGTTTTACACAATGGCTATTTGATAATTTAAATACCAGTTGGCTATTTTTAAAAAAATGTAGGAAAATTAAGCCTCATTAAATACTGGTATGCAAGGGAAGATAAAATAGGGAAAGAGCGAATATAATGATAGGAAACGAAAAATTAGAAGAAGTGACCGATTTTAGGTTTCTAGGAAGTCAGATAAGTCAGGATGGAAGGAGCAGTAGGGATATAAAGCAGAGGATAGCGCAGGGTCGAGTCGCCTTCAATAACTAAGAAATTCGAAAAAGATTGTTAAAGGTGTATGTTTGTAGCATGGCGCTGTACGGGTGCGAAACACGGACAGTGGGCGCGGCGGAAAAGAAAAGGTTATAAGCGTTCGAAATGTGATAATACAGGCGAACGATGAGGAAACCGAGGATAGAGAAGGTTAGAAATGAAGAAGTATTAGCAAGAATAGGAGAACAGAGGACTCTATGGAAGTACAATTGATAAAATTTACTTTGAACATAAGGAAAGCCTTTTTTCAAAAATAAGCAGTTAACAACTATAAAACAACATGAAAAAATATTCGGCAATAGTCAGTTGTTACAATCAAAGCTTCTTTTACGTATCAGAACGCTTTTTATTAAACGTCTAATAGAATAAGGCATAAAACTTGACACTGCTATTGGTCAGATTCATTAACATTTTTCTCATTTCTTTTTTCAGGTGCCACAGAAAGTGAAAATCGAAAAATTCTATTCCAGCAGTAGAAGCAGGACTTCATTTAAAAAGGTATTTATTTTTAATTTTCATCTTTTCATATAAACTACATTTGTGTTTCCCAAACTTTATAAAAGAAAAAAATGTAATGTTAGTTTATTTCGTATGCTAATAAGGGTTCCACACGTCATTATTTACTAAACCTGTTAGTGTAAATTAATTAAAATTGGATTTTACAAAAAAAGAATAAAATTTATATTTCGAACTTTATTTACATTGAAAAGAATAGTGTATTCTATTTTTATACTACTTTTTAGAAATTACTTAATTAATTAATTAACTGCTTCTTACACACAAGCGGACAAACAACGTGTCACAATAAGAGTTCTTTTTTACTAATTTGGCTCGAAATCTCACTCAACGTGCCTCCATCAGTTAGAGACTTGTTTTAGTTCTTATCTATTTTTTTGCCAAGAAAATGGTTCTTTTACTTGGAAATGAGATTTAATTTGAATTAAATTTGGAAGAACCTTTGCTCTCAGGCAATTTTTTAGAATTCTAAAGTCTATAAGGGTTATCGAAATCTTATTGCCAATAAATTGGAACCTATTATACTCAATTGACCGGAAAACCATGATATTACAAGAAAATCAATTGAAGTACTGCTGGACCAACGATACGTTGCCCCTCAGATTCTAATGCCCACAGACGCGCAATGGACGATCGCTATTCTATGTTAAAGT